GGCAACACTGAGGGTTGCAATCCCATTGCCGGTCCCCGGCCCGGTACGGGGGCGACACTGAGGGTTGCGATCCATTGCCGGCCACGAAAAAAGACAAAAAAAAAAAAAAAAAAAAAAAAAAAGCTGGGATGCTTAAACCTAAAAGGGGGGCTATGACCTATTTTGAAGTGAAAAAAAAAAATGCAGAGTAATGTGTAATAATTAACCCTTTTCTCAGAATCCTTTATCAGAATCTGAATTTTAACAAGAACCCCAGCTAATCTGTAAGCTCATTGAGTCTGAGGAGCACTGCTGTGTCTTTAAAAATTCACGAACAGTTCAATACAGAATTGTGACACAATCCCATGTTGCAATGAAAATGAAATAATGGCAATACTGGCCCAGGGAATGAAATTGGAAATTAAACATTTACAATATGAATTCCCACCCTGTTGGAAGACATCCTAAAACTCAGATTATTGCACTTTAGTGACACTGTGCTGTCTGTGCTTTTATTTTAGATCGCCATCTTCTCAATAGCTGCGACTGACCTAAATCAGTACGGATTTCTAGGGCTACTTTTCACCACCCTGTTAGTACCGCCCTTCACACTGATTGGCTCTCTGTTCATTTTTTCTGAGGTGAGTAATTTCACTCCTGTCCTAAGGTCATAAAATGTGTAGTCACTTGAAAAATCCTTGAATATTGCGAAGATATAGGTAGAGGCCTCAGCTGTGCGAAGTTAGAAATTTCGGTCTTTTGGGCCGGCCCAGTGGCGCACTGGATGGTGCGCCGCTTGGGAAGCGCGGCGGCGCTCCATGAAATTTCGGTCTTTGAGAAGCCAATACCCTTACCAGTGGCAAAGAGTATATTGTCATTCAGTAGGAAGCCCTGCCTTGGCTTGTGAAAATCAAAGAAAACTCCAGGGTAGTAGGATTTTGTAGTTTTCCTGATAACTCTCACTCCTGAGAACTCTACTGGGAGAATAAAGAGATGTCTCCGTTTTAAGTTTTGGACATGTTAGGTTTAATGCTCTGTATCAGTCAGTTTTCTGTTGCTTGTAAAAGAATACCTGAAACTGGGTAATTTAAGAAGAAAAGAGGTTTATTTCTTACAGTTTGGGAGGCTGGGAAGTTCAAGGTCGAGGGGCACATCTGGGGAGGGCTTTCTTCTTGGTGGGAACTCTCTACAGAGTCCTGAGGGGGTGCAGATGATCACATGTCGAGAGTGTCAAGAACCTTTTTACGTGCTCATTTGGTCTCCTTATAAAGCCACCAGTCTACTCTCTGATAACCCAGTAAATCATTAACCCATTAATCCATGCATGGACTCATCTGTTCATGAGGACAGAGTCTCATAATCTAACAACCTCTTAAAGGTCCCACCTTTCAAATATCATATTGGGAATTAAGATGCAACATGAGCTTTGGAGGGGACAAACATTTAAGCCATAACAGGTTCCTAAAAGACACACAAAGAGAAATGTTAAGTAGCCAGTTAGATATATGAGTCTGCAATTCATTGTGACATTATGTGGAGACTGGGACTAAAGCTAAATACCTGAGATTCATCCATTTATAGACAGTATTAAAAATCTGTGGGACTGGATAATATAACCTACAAAGTGAGCACAGATAGAAGTGAAAAAAGGGCCAAGGACTTGACCTTGAACTCCAAAATTTAGAGTTTGGGAAGAAGAGGAATTAACAAATTAGTTTGAGGGTGAACCGGAGAGCTAGGAGACAGAGATGGCAGACTTCTGTGTGCCAGAAATCTGCTCTCAGAAACTCTCCTACGTTTAAGTATCAGGGTATAAAGGTATATGCCAGATGGCAATAAAGAATGTTTCAAGGAGGAGGGAATGATTAAACCATCAAATTACTGACAGGTCTGGAAAGATAACTGAAAAGAGACCGTCGGCTTTGACTATGTGAAGGTCATTGGTGACATTAACAAGGTTGATTCCAGTGAAAGTGTCAACAAAAAAGCCTAGCAAAAGTGGGCTTAGTTGGGGCCGGCCCGGTGGCGCACTGCTGTAGTGCGCCACTTGGGAAGCGCGGCGGCACTCCCGCCGAGGGTTTGGATCCCACATACAGACCGGTTCCCGCTCACTGGCTGAGCGAGGTGCGGGAGCAACACCGAGGGTTGCGATCCCGTTGCCGGTCCCGGTCC